CGAGCGGGTGAAGCTGATGCCAAGGAAAGGCTGCTGCGAGGAAACCGGGGGGGGGGGAAAGAGAGAAAGCACGCTAAGAGGATCCAACCCCTAAAACACCATTACACACACACACACAGGTTGCAAAAGGGTCCTCCTAGTCCTCACACCCCCCGACACCTGATCCGACCCGATCCGCAAATCCGTCACTTCTTGTCTTTCCTTTCTCCTCTCGCGACCCCCCCTCTCCCTCCAGGCCCCCCTCCCTTCTCCCCCCCGCGCCCAGCTACTTCTGAATCTGAATCGGCGATGTTGCAGCGCTGGGCTCTGTAGCACACGGCAATGAAACTTCCGGATCTGCGTCGGCGGTTTCTCTCTTTCCCTAAAACCCTAAAACCGTAAGAAAGCCCTTAAAACCCTTCAGACCCACCGGTCGTGAGGTCTACCGCCGCCAGCTCCAAGATCCGCTCCGTCCGCCACTGCAGCCCGGTAGTTTCCACGTCCACTGAGAAGCCCCGCAGCGGCCCGTCGGCGGTGGCGTGCAGCAGCAGCGGCAGCAGCTCCGAAACCGCGTCCCACACTGCCCGCTGGTCCGGGGCCGCCGCCGCCACCGCCGCCAGCAGCTGCCCGTCAGAGGCCTGAAAGCCGGGCGGCCCCTCGGGACTCATACCCGGCAGAGCAAAGACGCTGAAGGGAGGCGGCGGCGGGGACACTGGCGGCGGCGGGGACAGAGGTCGGGAGTTGTACGGAGATTGTGATGGCGATTGGTTTGGGGGAGGCTGGCGGCGGACGGCGGCGGCAGGTGGTGAAGTTGCCGGCGGAGCCGCCGGGCCGTGTTTTACCGCGGGTGGTGGTGCCACTACCCCTACTGGCTGCGGCGGCGGAACCGCCGCCGCTCCCGCCACCGTCGCCACCGTCGCTCCCGTCGCCGTCGCCGTCACCACCGGCGGTTCCGCCTCCAGCCGCCGTACTGTCGCAACCGCCGTGGAGCTTACCCCTCCTACTCCTGATGCTGCTACAGCTCCTGCTACCACCGGTACGCCGCCCTTCGGGCCGCCAACGCCGCCACTCCCCGGACTGCCTCCGCCAGCGCCACCACCGCCACCACCACCGCTCGCAGTCGGGGAGATAGCTGCTGCTGCTGCTGCTCCTCCTTCCGTACATGCCTGCCGCCGTTGTATCGTTGGGGGAAGG